GAATGCAAACAAAATCGAAATCGAAGTTACGATGAAAATTTTACGAAACTACGAATTAAAAGGGTATTCTAATGAATTCATTATTTCAGTTTTACTTTTATTATTTTATTTTATTTTTTTCTGATGGGATGTCTGCATCCGTGGGACCCACTCACGTGGGTCTCCTTTCCTCAATGTCCTCGTGTCCTCAGCCTCCTACTATTCCGGACATCTCTCTCATTTTTTCTTATTTTATTTCAAACTCTCTCTCTCTCTCTCTCTCTCTCTCTCTCACACCATGACTCTCTCCCCTCTAACTCTCGTCACTCTTTCTTTCTCTCAGCTCTATCTCCTTCTTTCTGCAAACGCAGAGACCACACTACACCCATCTCGTCGGAACGGCGAGCATCACCATCTGGACTAATCTGGACCACCGTCGACTGCCATGATTCTTTCTCTCTCATCCCTTACCTCTCTCTCTCTGGGTCCTCTCCTCCTCTCAAACTCTCTCTTCTCGGTAAACTAGCAAACCCTCCATCTCTAAGTTATATGCACTGCACAGAAGGTGCAGCATCACCGGTCCATCATTACCAGCATCACCTCAGCGAGTTCTCAGGCCACCATCACTGCCCTGTCTCTCTCTCCCTCGCATGTTTTCTCTTTTCATCGTTGCTGCAAAAAGGAAATATGAACGTCACCGCCGGTGCCTTGTTTCCCGGCGAGTTTCTCGAATTTTGACCAAGGTAAGGCTCGGGATTCTATAAATCACCTTCCGTTTTGTTGTTAGAGCTGATGGTGACCTTGAATACCTGTTTTGGTGAAGCTTAGCATGAATTTGACTCGGAGAAGAATTTTCCCAGAATTCTGGAAAGTTGAACCGTGGCCTTCAGGCCACTTTCAGTCCATTTTTCCGGCCAGAATCGACCATGAATCGGCTCCACTTTTGTATAGTTTTGTTCCTTATATTCCTAAATTTAAATGGGTGCTTGAATCACTGAATTTAGTTGAGAATTGAGTTCAAAATGAGCTCTGGAAGTCAGCGGTTCTGCAAAACACAGGCCTTCGTGAGGAAGGCGAGTACGGTCGTACTCGCAGGCGCGTGGGCGCGCATGTACGTGTGAGAGTGGTCGGTGTGTGCGGCGGTGCTGGGAGGAACCCGAGATCGCTCCTTTGGTTTCTCGACGTGCCGGACCCGAATCCACCCTTTATTTTTCGAAATTCGATTGTTTTAAGATAGTTTCTTTATTAGCCTTATTTTGTACGAAAACACGTTTATATATTAGTATGTTACATATTTACATAAATGGTTTCGTTTCTAGGTGAAACGCATCGTAAGGACTCTCAATACTACAAGGCGGGTTCGACACGACAATGTGATTTGTGAGTGGGTCTTTTCTTTTATATAGTATATACATATTTGTTAGTTTCCATTCATACATTTGAAAAAGAATTTACTCTGTATGCCTAGCTTAGACTAATGTTTACGAAATTATTCTAAATCTTGCGGGGATGCATATGTATGCGTAGGATGCTTTAATTATATTTACAGCCGTGAATAATATATGTTGACTAAAATTATCGAATCACTGTGGCATGACTATGTTTATGTTATTTGCTCATCGTTGCTGCATCGGTGTTAGTGCTCGCTCAAGGCCAAGGCCAAGGCCAGTCTTTCACGTGTATGTTCACATCTGCATCGCACGCTCACCTTGGATTCAAGTAGGTGCCAGTCCTGTTGAACAAGTTGCAATAGGCAACTCTGACTCGTATGTGACCGTGAATAGCGTCATTCTTCACGTGATTGCAGCACTAGAACCTATATCATTGTTACACCTACTCATGTTCATATCAGAATATCTCTGCATAAACTCGTATGTCAGCATGTGTCGATGAGCATTCATTATGGTATGATTGCTATTGCGAGATTATACGATTTATGGACATCATGCACTTATTTACGAAATATTGTCCCGTATTGAATTTTTGAGATTCTGCAGGATATGGTAGGCATTTTATTACTATACATAGTATGTATATTTTGGAAACTATAATTATTTTACGGTGATGGGTTATAAAGTTTTCAGAAAGGTTTTTATAAACTTTATTTTCAGGTCCACTCATCCTTGTTTTTCACCCCTCAAGGTTTTAGTGGCTGATTTTTCGTGTCGACGAGGATTTATGGCAAACTGTTGTAATGGAAATACTACCAATGGTATAATTCCTCTATTACCCATATTGTACTTTACTTATGCTTTGACATCATGTGTAAAATGAGTTAATTCCCACTCACATGAGCACTCTTACATTTAGGCACTTTTAGGTTTAAATTTCCTCACAATTTCCACATGACTACACTTCATGGCTTCGTCACTTTCGAGGTGTCGACCAGCACAGCTCAAATCGGAGTCCTAGTGGACATTACGGGTTTGAGTGCGTCAACAATAGGCAAAGAGTGAAATTAAAAAAATTAAAACACATGATAAATAAAAATATCAAGTAATTTAAAAATACCACACACTTAAAAAAATTATAATATTTAATTTACAAGTACGAAAAATGTGAAAAAAAATGTAAACGTTTGTGATCGCATCCTATATCTTTTGAGGATGAGTAAATCGTCGTTTCAATTTTTAAAACCATACAAACCCTCATGAATAGTTTTTTTAAGGGAGTTCAAAATAAATAAAATTCAAAATCATTAATGTACAAGTTTGAAAAATGTGAAAGAATATATGAATGCTCGTGATTTTAGGTGATAGTTACATGGTCGTTTAGATTTTTAAAACCATCCAAAACTCATGAATAGTATTTTTTATTTGAGTACAAAATTAATAATAATTATTGTAGGAGTGTGAAAAATGTAAAATAAACATACAACCATTTGAAATGAATCAAACACCATAATCCATAAACCTTAGATTTAAATTTAACCTCCGAATGTCATTTACGCTTTATTCTACTTAAAGAATTTTATTTTTTAAGATTTTCATTATTTATTGATTTAAAATATATTTTCTTTAACGGGTAACGGGTTGGGTCATATTACCTAATAATATTAACGGGTCAATTTCGGGTCGGATCATATTACCTGTTTACTTTAATGGATGTTACACGATATGAACACGAAAAACACGACACAAATGCCAGGTATACTACACATGAGCCATTGGTGGATTAGAGCTTTCCTTTTCAGCCCACCACGTCTTGAATTCTCTCTCTTTCTCTCTCTCTCTCTGTTTTTTAGTATCTACACCAAATGGGTGGGAGAGTGGGCTAAGCCTAACAATGAACTAGCCATAATAATTCGACACTAAAGGGGTGGGAGAGTGGGTTAAACCTAATAATGAACTAGCCATAATAATGAACAAATTTTCCTTTGGCGAGAATCGAACTTCAGATCTCTCATTTACAAATGAAAATGAATACGACTAGACCGTGGTACTAGCTTGAATTCACTCTCTTATCTTCTTTAACATATCTCAAAGTAGTAAAGAGTTGCTTTCCTATAAGGTCTTCATTTTGAGGACCTATGAGGTCTTTTTTATATGAGATATTAGATTAATCTTACAGTAAATTAAGCTATCAACTTAAATAATTTTTGTTATACGGAAACAAAATTCTAATTGATAAAACAAAACAAAAAAAAAAAAAGGAGGAGAAGATTTTACAACATGTCAAATCTCTTCCATCTGCAAAACCTAGTCTCCTCATTGAATATCTAAGCCCAACAAATCTAGTTGCACAAAACCCTAATAACTTTACACATCAAATTTCATCCAATCTTTCATCAATAATATTCAAACCCAGTTAGTTACAAAGCACCCAAAAAATTGAGATTATGTGGTTTTAGAGAATGCATGGGATCCCCTTCTTCTTGAACATGTAAACCATTTCTTGATATGAAATTTTCTAACGATGGTGAAAAAATTGAAACAAGTCCCTCTCCCTTTTTCATACGCGAAAAGGAAAAAATAAAAAAACTCAAAGGAGAGACTGGGGAGTGAACGATCGAGAGAGAGATGGAGAAAGGAAAGTGAGTGGAGGAGAGAGGTGGTAGGGGAAGAAGACGGAAAGTTTTCACAGAGAATTGCTTTTTAATTTAATCACTTCGCAGAAATATTGTGTTCCACTGTAGTATGAATTATTTAAGTTAATAACTTAATTTACCATATGATTAATTTGAGGGCTCATATAAAAAAGGTAACTTCCTACCATTGGATGAGTTTTACGGGTTGGAATGAAAAGTTATTTATCTAAGAGTAATGCTATGAAGACTAAATTTGTAAACTAAATTTGTAAATTAAATGATGTGTCACCAATAAGAAATAAGTACGTTTAACAACGTTTAAGTAATAATCCAATCATCAACTTCTATGTCATTTAATTTACAAATTTAGTTTACAAATTTAAGCTCTCAATTCACGACGTCATTTTAGTGAATTTTTTTAGCCTCCTGTTCTAATATATATTCACCCAATTTTCCAGAGTCCCGTTTCTTTGATTACTCGGTCGTGTGTTTGGAGTGATAGTTGTATCCTTTCTGTTGTTCCGTCTGCCAACTTTGAGAAATGACTTTCCTGTATAACTAGGCTCAAATGGTTCAAGAAAATCAACTTACTTTTGGGCTAGTGGTGTCTTCATTTTGTTAGATCGGAGCCCTTACATTTGACTCACATTGATGGCGAGGATAACATATTGTTGTGATGAATTCATACCTAAATGATGTGGCATACCTTTGTAGTGGGTGTGTTTCCCTGTTGTAAAAATCTTTGTAGACATCATTTTGCTTGTCAAAAGGTAAAGAGAAAAAAATGGCCATCCGAAAGAATCCTCTGAATATTTATCCCTAAGCTAATTTTCATTTCTTTATTTCACAAACCAGAAGAGTAAATTGACACATGAATATTAATCCCCAAGCTAACATTAATTAGCAATGAACATAGATTACTAATAGATAAAACCATTTATCCAAGTTAATAAGATCAAACAGTTTTGCTACTGACAAATTAACCCATGACAAGTTAAACTGGTTCAACCTTGTAAATCCTTGCTTTTGACCTCTTGATCATCCAATACTCCTCAAAATCCTGCGCTTCATATGGAATTCTCAAAACACTGTCATTGCAAAAACCATACTCTTCAGCTGATTTATGCAGCAGCTCCAAGAATTCTGCATGGCGAAGCAACGTGGTATGAACCATGAAACGCTTCGTATCACCATCCACACCAACACAGACAGGCACATACCCTTTTGGTGTTAAAGGAGAAGGGCTTATCAGTATTTTTGCTGCTCGAGCTCCGATTAACTGGCTGTACCTGCTGCTTCTCACCCTCTTTAGCAAATGGCAAAGTACTCTCTTCATACCTGGAATTCTGAATGACAACTTCACCATTTTTTCCATTGGTTTTTTTGGTCGTGATTACTACTCCATTTAACTTCAAATATAATATGGTTCTTGCTACTTCCTAATCCTAGCAGTACAAATTTAAGGCCGTGCGTACTCTGCGTCCTTGCTATCCTATCCTAGTACTATTTACGTCCCCATTAGACGTTGATTAACGATATTTTTGGGGTAATTAACTTGATGATTGCTACATGAATAAGATTTAATTAGTATCAAACAAATTGGTAACTGTTGAAGTACATTGTTCCGTGACTACAAAGTTGAAAGTTGATTTAGATATATTTTTATCTTGAATCTGCCAGATTAAAATATCTTATTTATTTGGCATCATGAATTTTACCCACAACTTGTGAATAAGTCAATAAGATGACTAATTAATTCAACCTTGCCGACCCCTCAATCTAAATATTCGAAAGCTCGACTAATAATATTCCTAGGTGCATGTATAATTAACCACAAGGTGCATATGAAACAAACAATCGAGTTGTTTCCTTATTTGTCCATAGTGAAAATTTGACAAACCATTTATAAAACTTCAAACTGTACATCAAAGTTGTTCACAAGACTCGAATTTCAACATGACTACATAAACAATAATCCAAAAGGACTATACGAAAGCGTGACAAAATCTGCACACAAATAACTTCAACTGTATACTTAATTAGGCATCATAAGGTTTGAAAAATATTGTGAGGACAACAAAAATGGCATCTTGATATCATAAGACTGGCAGGCCCAACAACAAAGATCGATGTACAAGAGCTCTTGCTTTAACCAGAAAACACATCAAGCAGCAGAAGGTAACCATACTCAGAGTGGGATACTCTTCATCATCGTAGTACAAATGTGAAGGCACTAATTGTAACTAATAGAGTATTGAAAAAAAAAAAGTAACTAATAAAGTAAAACATCCTAGACATGTAGAAACAAGAAGTTAAATTGAAGAAAACCACATACATATCATGATACAAGCTGAAATGATGGTTTCGAATCATTCAACAACGGAAATAGATATGATACTTATCATCTAATGATCAAGTAACAAAAACAGAAGGAAGCTAGAACTAGATCATTCTAATGATCAAGTAAACTAATCTTTCATCATGATTAGTTGCACAGCTATACTATAGATGGTATAAACACCCATAGCAAACCAACGTAATTCCAGATTTAGTTTCATGCTTGGATTCAAGATTATATAAACCAGATATGCATTTTAGTTGTTATAATTAAAGAGAAATACCTAATATTACTAGACCGTAGTTTTAATGACAATTGACTTGGTTGTTGATTTTTTTTTTTAAAGGAAAACTAATAAAAATGGTTTAAAAACTATGAGTTTTAACGAACATGACAAAATAAAGGATAAAGTGAAAAGTACCAGGATTGATTTTTTAGTGTAAAAATGTGGTTTTTCGTTAAAGTAAACAGTACCTGGAGCTTTTCGTTAAAGTTTTTTTTTTTTATTTTTTTTATTTTTTATTTATTGGCCTCAACTCATCCCACCTTCTAAAGCCTAAACTCTCAAAGTTAACCGTACATCCCGCAAGTGTCCTCTACTACAGTGGCAGAGGAGAGTGCTGCTCTTGCACCAAGGTGTATATTTGAACCTCGTCAATTTTCTAATCTAACATTTAATCTAACAAATTTATCTTTTAAAATAAATAAATAAAAACCGTAGAGCCAACAAACTTCCAAAAGTCCTAAAAAGATATTAAGCTAGGGATTGACCCGTTTCCCAACTTGATCGTTGAGTGAGCTTGAATGACACGTCATGCTCTTGAGTTTAACTATTGGTGTTGTGTGGTGGTGGTGTGGTTGATCATAGTGACGAAAAGAAATAAGTTTGGGATAATTTTTTTTTAGTAATAGGCTCACTTTGTAATAAAGTAAAAATATTACTATACTCATCCTATTGTCTTATTATTACATTCATCTTTTTATGAAAGTTTTAATGATAAGTTTATTTTATTACAAAATTACGTAGAAGGACATAAGCAAAATGTAAGAAAGTGTTTTTGTTTGGGAATTGAAATGACGTAGGCAGCCCCGCCTTACATTGATCTCTCTTCAACGCACCACCGCTTCTCAAAACCTAAGTCAAAACCAATTGAAGGACCCAAGATTTAAGTTGTTGCTTCCTCACGGTGTTTGAAACTCATGTCACATCTAATATTGAAGACAACTTCGATTGAACAAAGTTGTTATGCAATTCTTTATTGAATTTTTAGTGAACGGAATTGTGGGTGGATTCAAGAAAAAAAAACAATATTAGATTATTAAGGCTAGTTTAGGAATAATAGTGGGTCTAAAAATAACTTTGTTTTTTTTTTATTATTATTATTATTATTTTTTACTTTAGGTGGGAGTAGAAAGTAACTCTAAAATAATTTGTGCCCTATTTTAAAATTTTTAGTTGAATTTGATACTTTTCCTATTTTTAGCTGAGCTTGATACATTTTCATACAACATCTACTTGGTATTTAGGATAATGCTAGAAAGACTAAATTTTAAACTAAATTTACAAATCAAATAATGTGTCACCAATAAAAAATAAGCATGTTAATCAACACTTAAGTAATAATCCACTTACCCTAGTATTTAATACGAAAAAAATTCATTAGTTAATGATTAAGACAAAAAGAGAAAAGGCTTAATTGATTTAATAGTTCCCGTGGTGATAGGGTAGTTGGAAGATAGCCCTTACGGTAAACAAACTAGGATTTAAACCCATGTGTTGAAGTCTATTAGGATTTAGGTCCAAAATTGAAAATTTTGTCAACTCTCCATTAATTGTTAGCATACGAGGCTCACATGATAAAGTTAGCTTCATATGTAAGCCCCACGTGCTAACAATGAATAGAGACTTCCGTTTTAGCCTAATGTGTGTGGCTCATGTACTAATAATTAATGAAGAGTTTACGGAGTTTTTAATTTCGGACCTAAATCCTAACAAACTTTACTATAGAGGCTTAAATCCAAGTTCTTTTACCACATATATTATCTTCTAATTACTCTATCACCATAGACTAATAATCAATTAGGCCAAGAGATAATAACTTCAGAATAATTAACAATTCTCTCTAAATTTTCTTTCAATAAATCTTTTCATTATTCGCTATCATCAATGCATATTACTGCTCACCTACAATAATCATAATAAAAAATAGAATGAAAAAAAAAAAATACTATATGCCGCTGAGGCAGTAATGTAGATATTAGAACAAAGGCTTGTTTATTTCTTTTTGAGTGATAGAACAAACATATTTTTACAAGGGGTCAACTGTCGAGCAGTGTTTTACACTTCAATGGGCTGCAATTCCAAATCAATTTGACATGCATACGCTCCGCTTTGATTTGAAGTGGAGGGGGAATGACCCCTTGGTATGGGATCTGCTCTTGTAAACCGATAGGCTACCAATATTATAGTTGTATTTATAGCTTGATTGTCCTTTACATGACCAAGGCTCTAGCAGCCAAAACCCCAACGGCCAGAGATCCGGCAATGGCAAATCTATTCACAACGGCACCGCCAGGGGCGGGTGCAGGAGCCTCTCCATTGACTGAAGAGGGAGAAATCTCCGGAGATAGTACATGGGTAGATGAGGGAAGAGAAGGTGGAGAGTCGGCGATGGGGGCTGTAGAAGGAGCATTTTCTGATGATGTGCTGGATGAGTAGGGAGCGGTTGTTGGTGGAGTGCTCGACGGAGAAGGAGTGGCAGCAGGTGGAGAAGGAGCATTTGCTGGTGAAGTGCTGGATGAAGAGGGGGAGGTTGTTGGTGTTGTGCTCGATGGAGAAGGAGATGCATCAGGTGGGGTGGTCAATGGAAAGGGAGAAGATGCAGCCTTAGGTGGACTGCTCAATGGAGTCGCCGCAGGGGACTTGGATGGTGATGATGTATGGGATTGTGCCCCTGTTGAGGCCACCAAAAGAGCAGCCATTAGAACCAGAACAACGCTGGTGAAGCGTGCCATTGTAGGGAGAGAACCTTATTAGGGTTTAAGAGAGAGAAGTTTTCCAGGGTTGGGAGGCAGAGAGGTGAAGGATGTGTTAAGGAGAGGTGAGAGTCGGTTTTTATAGACGAACATTTAGAAAACTTTGGTTAAAACGGATCTTTGTTGGTTGTCTATACAATGTCAATTCTTCGACCTCGTGTAAAGGAATGTTGGTTATAAATTGTGGAGAAAAACTGTGCTGTCTTCTTGAAGATACGCTCGGTGGTTTTTCCATCTTTTTTTATCATGTGATAACCAACTGTGATAGGGTAATTTCAATATAATTAAAAAAAAAACCCTAAAATTAGCCTTAGCATTGTCGCTTCTTTTTTGTCAATTTCAATTTCATAATTAAGAAGTTATATAATTGTTGACCTAAAAACTACTAAGCCTACGTGGCTGCACAGATCAAGTAACTAGTGAGCTAACTACGTCATTTGGTTATGTGCGAGGCGTGCCAACTCGACGGCTGAGCTTGATCGGGGAGTAAAATGTGTTGATGTTGCGTTGAGCGCGCTGCTGACTTCTTGATCTTGCGATTGCGGCCGAGGAAGGAACACGCCTCGGCCTTTGAGTTCTAAAGCCTGAAGACAAGGCTGCTAATCTTGCAAAGTTCACGGATCGTTGGTACTAGATTCAGTCACGGTGATTATATTCGTAAGAGTAGAAGCACGTCGAACTGGTATCAGACTATATGGACACAAATACTTAAAAGAGATGTATGTCTTGATGATAAATGTGGTTTGGCCGTAGGAATGCCGAACTCTAAAACTAACTTGTAATATCCAATCATAAAACAACTCGGCGATCAACGTGTCGAGCCTAGTAAACTGTAACACCTCACTTCACTGAGAAGGCTGATGAGATGACCTCTGTCAATAAGGACTCGAAAACCCTTCTTGATCGAGACTTGGATAAATAACCAGTTGGCCTCGAAGCAGTGCTGTTTATCCAAACTGAAGGTGCTCCTTGATCGGCTGATTCTACGACTCCAGTGCTGTTTATCCAAACTGAAGATGTTAGCCTTCACAATGCTGTTTATCTAAACTGACGATGTGTCAGCGGGAAAAGAAAATAAAAATCTCAAGGTGTTTGAGAGGTTTCGTGTAGAACGAGAGTTTACGCAGGGCAGTTTGTGTGTTGAATTGAAGGGCGCTTGAATGATGCACTCCCTCCTCTATTTACAGTAGCAAATTCGTTCACAACCAAGCTATAATCATACTCGGATTAGAACTCCTCATCCTAATCTGACTCGGTCTTGGCCAATCCTAATCCCACTATGACTTTGAACCAAGCTCTTTTATTAAACCAAATCCATCCTTAACACTCAGCGTCATTAGCCTCAATACACCTCGTCGTACTAGGTTTCGAGTATTTCATCTTTATCCGAACTAACCCTCCTCGAAATATAATTTGGTTGATCCTAACTAGACGGCCCATGACAACTAACAAAGGCCCATAACAAAATTCCAGATGAAGGTCACTGGGCCGAGAGTGACTCTAAGGTTGGCCCAAATTATCATTTTGGGCCCAAACATTACCCCCTCACTTCTAAGGTCTTCAGCCTATAATTCCTAGTTGATCCTCGGCCTTGAAGAAGCGACATACACCCTTAGCATATTCTTGAAGGACACTAAAAATCTTTGAATATTTCAACCTACTCAGGTGCATTTATGAGGCATGATTGCATGATCTAAATCCTGTTAGATTCTCTGCCACGTGGCATCTTTTTAATACGTTTGTCTTTCAATGATGACATCTGAAACTTGCGGATACCAAAACGTCTCCTCACCATCAAAACTTGCAGTCACACATAATCGTGTCACCTCAAGCTGCGAGCTTTTCGGCCTTTTCATATGGGTTATCGAGTAGAAATATTTGCCATGATTACAAACTTTTCGGTCGGATTTACTTGTTAACACCTATAAATACTCAGTTCATCCTCACTCATTTTTTCCTTATGCTTACAAATCTTCAAAAAAACTTTTTAATTCCAGAACCTCCTACCATTTGCTTCCAACCCAGAAAACAATCCTTCAAAACCCAAAAAACCCCCAAGCTTTCATCAATGGCTGCCAACACCTTTATCACTAAGCTTACTGAGGAGTGCAACAAAGGCCGATATATTATCGATCAGAACGCCATTAAAGTGATCCATTCCTAAGATGACTTGAGTGCCTTCCACCAGACTTTGAGGTCCATTTTCAAGGACATCATCCCAGAAACCATCACCCATATGCTGAATGACCATTGCAAACCCTTGCTCCAAGGTTATGACTGGCTGTAGTGGGAATCAACCAGACTTCAAGGAGCTTGGCCCTCGACCATAGCGACCTGGGCTGCTTGGGTCACTCGAATGAAACCACACTATGGTGGCGAGTGGAAAACCCTCAGTATCTTTGATGACATTAAGCTCTTGACCATTGAAATCGCCATTAACCGAGAGCTCCTGATGGCTGCCCTGAGCTTTGGTACCCAACTATCAACACCATGATCCTCCTTCTCAGCCCATCAGTCCAACTGTGCTGGACATCATGACCATACTCGGCACCTTTCATTTCAGCCTTCCAATCGACTCTGCTCTCTCTGGGTACGAGTTTGACTTTGACTTGAAGGCAGTCTTTAACAAGCGGGTCGTCAAAGTTTTGTTGAAAAAGAATAAGAGGCTGTTGAAATAAGAAGTGCGAAAATTACACAAGAATTTCTTCAACTACAACACTTTGATCACTTACTTCGCTGGTTCGGAAGGAGAAGCTTTAAAGAATGGAGAACACGAAGCATTCCTATTTTACTGGTACAATAAGTTCATCTTCTGTACCAAGTCCAATAAATGCTTGGCTGAAAAAATGCGGTGGCTGAAGCCCTAGCCAGTGGTCATGTCTTAGCCTTTAACCTGGTCGTCTTTACTAACCTCAACGGATGCTTGCCGAGGCTTCCATTGGAAAAATTGACTCGCACCAGAACGGCCTACTCTGGGTTTTCCAACTCTGGCTGCAAGTCTATTTCCCAACACTGAGGCCAGAAATCCCAAGCTTTATTTCTTCCGAAGCAATGGGTCTACAATTGGCCTCGCGCCCCTTTCCTGCTCACTCGGTCAAAGGAATCTTTAAGTATTTCTTTGGCCTCGAAGATCTTTCAGATGACGAATTCCTGGTCTGCCGCCACCAGAAATACCTATCATCCATCACACTCCCAACCTCGGCTTGGGAGGAAGCAGAAGAGGCTGACCTTCGATGGTCCTGGGGGTCCTTCACCTTAGTTCGCAATCTTTCTTTTGGTTATGACACTTGGCGGGCTAGCTGGGAAGTTTATCATCCTAACTTCTTGGCTTGTTAACTAGGTTTCCTTTAGGGCTATCCTCTACCACTCCTTACTTCCTGTTCTCTCTTGAGTCGAGAACGCTTCTCTGGCTCATAAGAGAGGGAGTGCGACGAAGCCGAGAAGGAGTTCCAAAAGCGATGCCTAAAATTCTGACTTCAGCTGAACACCCCAGAAACCCACTGTACTAGCACCTTTATCGATTGGTGGGATACTTATACGAAGGATTTCTTCGGTGATTCGGCTAAGGAAATTTCGAAGAAGCTCTTTGGCAAACGACCTCAAAAGACTCTCGCCCCAAAATCCAAAGAAACGGCCCAAGGTACACATCTCTTTGTTTCCTTGTCACCCCTTAGCCTTGGTTATTTCAAGTTTGTTCTAACTTAAACTTAGTTTTTCCAGGTGGTCGGTTAATGAAACGAGTCAATGTGATCGCAATGGCCGCGATTAAGAAGAAACATCACCATCCTCCTAAGAAGGCCGCGACCGTTGCACCTCCCTCAACCGGACCAACTCTAGCAGCAGCCCTTGCCGCTCCTACCAGACTGAGTAAACGGCCTTACCCAGAGGTCGAAACGATTGACGTCGTTGCCTGGCCCTATAAGAGTATAAAAAAGAAGGCAAAGAAGGGAGAGCGGGAGATACACGTTATTTGAAGTCAAACCACAAGAACAACTACTCCCAGTGTCCCTCTCCCCTCTCCTGTCGGGAATGCCGCAAAACCCTCCAACAAATCTGGCGACTGAAGTTAGCAAAGCATGAAGCTGAGATAACAGGGATGCAATTAGAATGTTTAGTGCTTTGGTGATATGTTGAACAATAATCACTGCTGGTGTGCTGATGTAAAAAAAATATTCTCATTGTCTTTAGTAATTATATTCATTTGCAAACATTCATTCCTTTTCTGATTTTTACTTCCAGTGAAAGTCGTGCTTTGAAATTTTTACTGGTGAGATTGTTGTTTCGTGAAGCTAATGAACTAATCCGCTGAGATCTGATTAGTTTGGTACTTTGCTGTTGATGATCAGATCATAGAGATGCTGACAAAATATAAAAAGAAATTCAGAACATTTGAAAGCATAAAAACTGAAGTCTAAAATTCAAATCATTCTGATTCTTGAATCGTAGCTCATAGCTGCAAATATGCAATTCATGAAGCTATTCATTTTGTTGTCAAATGGTTTGAAACCGAGCCAAAATCGTTTGAAACTGAACCGAACAAAACCAATTTGTTTGGTTTCATTTTGGTTTTAGCTTCAAAAACTGTACCCAACCGAACTGCAAAAACTTATAGTTTCGATTTCGATTCCACTCAAAACCGGGGTTTGGTGCTCACCCCTAAATTCGTTTCTCTTCGAGATAATGGGAGCTGGAATTTTGATTTAATTGAACAAAAATTTTGGCATTTTGAAACGGCTTCTATGTTGTCCATCCCGTTACCAGACTCATCCATTTCAAATAAATTTATATGTTAATAATCTCACTTGTTTCCTGTGTAGCAAAACCAACAAAGACGATTAAGTTTTCCTCAAAGTAATAAATTTAGTAACCAGCAAGGGTCGTGTAACTCCTTGCAACCCATGTCATGTCATTTCATGAGTTCAACTCCTCCCTCCTCCGATATAGCTCGTGTTGAAAAAGAAAAATACCAAAGTTTTCAG